TAACTTTAGAATGCGCTTTATGCGTTATGCATATTTGCTCTAAGGTAAGGCGTAACAGAAGAAGTAAAATAATATAGAAATTAACCAAATAGACTCAGTTTAATGTAGTACCTGTGGTAGTTCGGCTCGTGGTTCTGTATGCCCAAAGGACGTTGTTGAGCTTGTCTGCCCACTTGGCCTTATGCTGTTCCAATCTCGGCCTTATACCTTCCAAAATGCATTTGTTAACAGATTCAACCATGCCATTGGACTCCGGATGATAAACGGAGGTGAACTGTAACTTGATCCCATAACTGGAGCAGAAATCTCGAAATGAGGAGCAATTGAATTGAGTTCCATTATCGGCCACAATCTGATTTGGGATCTCATATCTGCAGATGATCGAGCTGAAAACAAAATCTTCGACCTTCTTGGAGGTAAGACTAGATAAAGGCCGAGCTTCAACCCACTTTGTAAAATAATCCACACCAACAACCAGATGGGTTACACCACCAACCCCTTTCACGAATGGGCCTAAAAGATCCAATCCCCACTGAGCAAATGGCCACGGTGCTACCATGTTCGTGAGCTCTTCTGCTGGTTGGTGAGTCAGATGTGCGAAGAATTGACATTTCGGGCATTTCTGAACAAAGTAAGTGGCATCTTTGTACATGTTTGGCCAGTAATATCCTTACCTTAAGACTTTATGGGCCAGAGTCCTAGCACCGACATGGCTCCCACAGACACCTTCGTGTACCTCCCGAAGTGCATATTCAGCTTCATAGGGGTTTAAACACCGTAGAAGAGGAAGTGAGAAAGATCTCTTATACAGGACCCCATCAACGAGTGTATACCGAGATGCTTTCTTCCTCAATTTCATTGCCTCCTGCCTGTCCTCAGGTATGATCCCATCTCGTAAAAAGGAGACAATCGAATCAGTCCAGCTCGGCGTGTCAGGGTTTGTGCTAATCTCCATCACCCGAGGCTTCGTGAAGCTTGGTTCATCTAAGACCTATACAAAAACGGATCTGGAACTTGAAGAGCTATCAGAGGCAAACTTGGAGAGTGAATCTGCCTGTTCATTCTCAGCTCGGGGGATTTTACTCAGACAGAATTTCTGGAATTTGCACTTCAGCTCGGCCACTAAGGCTACATACTTCACCATCACAAGATCAACAACTTCACAGATTGAGTTGATTTGGTTCACCACCAGCTAGGAGTCACTGTACACTTGAATTGCACTGATTTTCAACTCTAATGCTAGTTGTAGACCAAGTAGCAGAGATTCATACTTAGCCATATTATTTGTCGCATCAAAGTTGAACTTTAGGGCATGTTCGCTTCGGTATCCCTCTGGACCGATCAAGAGAGCGCCAGCCCCTGAATCCTTGCTACTAGATGCTCCGTCAACATATAAGGTCCATTCGTTGGGCTCTGGAGTAGAGGTTGAGGGACATGGAGTGCATTCGACAATAAAATCTGCTAATGCTTGAGCTCGGATTGCGGATCTCTGCTGAAATGTTATCTCAAACTCTCCCAATTCTACTGCCCACTTAATTAATCTTCCAGAGCACTGTAGTTTCTGTAGAATCTGCCAAAGAGGTTGATCTATGAGAACGATAATTGGGTGTGACTGGAAATATGGCCTCAACTTCCTGGCCGAAGTGACAACTGCTAGTGCTGCTTTCTCCGCTATAGGATATCTCAGCTCTGCTCCGTGTAATACACTGCTGATGTAATAGATTGGTTTCTGTTGCTTGACTTTCTCTCTCACCAGAACTGAACTAATGGCCTCATCTGAAATCCCCAGGTACAAGTAAAGAATCTCTCCATCTACAGCCTTAGTCAACAGAGGTGGTGAGCTAAGATAAGATTTCAGCTCTTCAAATGCAGCT